ATGTGTGTGTGTGTGTGCGCGTGCGTGCGTGCGCGCGCGTGCATGACGCAGGTTGTAGCAAAGCAATGGCGGCCCTCTCCCCAAAACACCAGGGAAACACGTCTGCCTCAGCACCAGCTGATGCCGCGTGTATGTCGGCATCCTTGCGTGACTAAGCAACAAACACCAGCATCCCTCCTCTCTTAGCGGCCACGAGCACCGCGCACGGGTCCCCAACACCCAACACTTTATAAACATCATAATTTCCGCCCATTCAGGCCCATCTCCAGCACACCGGCGTCGTACGATGTTGACGTGGCCAAGAAGCTGTATGACGTGTCACTGGAGCTGGTCGGGGCGCCTGTCAGCAGCACGGTCGCGTAATAATGCTTTCCTTGTGCGTATGTAGAGCATATGCCACGCGACTGCATGCCTGCATGGGCGTGCCCTGAAATCTTGGATGACAAAACACACAATTTTGTCATAGTGGGGGGCTATGGAGCAGACATTTGAGAGCAGCAGCACAGTGCACGGTTGTCAAGCAAGGGCCGCTGCATGAGCGCATTCTGGATTTTTGCTGCCTGTAATTCATCAGGCGCACGCGGGACCAGTGGCAGCTTGAATTACATGTGGGGCTCAGCTGCTCCATTGCACGTTTTTGGGATCTGCAACACTGCGCCAGCCTGCCTACAGACTGCATTGCGATCCGCGAAACCCCCAATCATGAGACTAGGTCGTTTGGCAGTCAATTTAAAAACACATTATATAAGGCATGTCGACCAAGGAGACAAAAGCAGGAAAGCAAACGCGGTCAGCCGGTCTCAAACGCCGCTCCCTTGGCTTGCCAGGGCCGGCGCCGCAGGGCGCATCTTGACTGGGCATGCCCACATCCGGCCTCCAGCAATGGGCCCCAATGCTGGACACGGCAGCCGCCCCTCAGCCCTCAAGGTGCACCATGTACTGAGTCAGCTGCTCCAGGGCCGCGCGGCTGTCGAGCCCAGCCCCCTCCGGCTTGGCTTCCCGCGGCCGCAGCATCGCAGCGCCGCCAGGCGCCGCGGGGCCGTGCTCCCAGCCGAGAGACTGCGCGAGGGCCACCGCGTCGCCCTCGCTGACACCCAGCAGCAGGGCCGCCTTCGCTGGGGACACCTGGGCGAACATGAGATGGACGAAGAGCGGAACAGGCCGGTAGGCGGTGGACGAGCGCACCAGCTAATGATACCAAAGACAGACATCACGCTGGGATGCGTCCCAGCCTCACTCAACGAGAAGAGCAGTGATAGCCACAAGGCGGCCAGGAGCGCGCAGTTGACTGGCAGTCTGTGCGCGTACCTGTGAGTACGCAGCCGCCAGCAGCTTGGCCATCCGCTGCCGCGTCTTCTCCACCACCGCCTCCACCAGCGGCTGCACCTGGGGGAGCGGGGTGGCCAATGGTGTTTAGGGGGTGGTCGGGGTCAAGAGCGCCAGGGGCAAACCGCCGGCCTTGCCCTTGCCTGGTGGCGGCCGTGCTCGCCTGCATGGCCGCTCACGCTGGGCGGAGGAGCGAGCGAGCTTCGGCCCGATGTTGCTGTGGAGGACTCCCAGCTGCCAGCTGCCAAGCCCCCTTCAGCGGCAACAGCCACGGCCCCGGTCATGGCGCCGTCCAGGCGCCGTCAGCACGCCCGGACGGGACGCGCCTGCGGGCTCCACTGGTGAGCTGTCAGCGCCTGCCAGGTGCCCGCGTAGTTGCGCCCCCAGCAGTACTGCAGGAGACGCCACACTGCGTCTGCCTCTGGATTTTGCTGCGAGGATGCAAGAGCATGCAGGGACATGGGGTTCGGGGAGCTTTTAGGGAAAGGGTGCGCCCCAGGTGTGTCGTCGCAGGGGGCCTGCTGCCATGGCGCGATGAAGGTGCCTGCTGCAAAAAACGGTCGGGCAGCAGAACATTAGGAAGCACCTGCTGCGCTGCAGGGAGGCGTTTCCATAGTAGTCGCGCATCCTCCCTGCAAAAGGGGGTTGGCGGCGTTGAGGCGGCCCGCAGCGCGTGCAGTGGCAGTGCACAGGAAGCAGGTGCAGCACAACATTACCATAAGCGTGGCAACGGTTCGAGGCCGCGGCTGTGCGGTGGCAGTGCTCACAGGTTGTTGTTGTAGATGTGTCCTAGCATGTGCAGCGCGCATGGCCAGTCCTGCAGCACTTGTGGGTCGACTGCCTGCACACAGCGGGGCACGCATGCAGTGGGGCAGGGTGCGAGCGACGATGCGCGGCGCGCAGTGACTGCTGGAGGGTCGAGCACCACGGAGCTGCTGCGCAAACGCATCGCGTTGCTTCAATTTCGTACAAGCCGGGCAGCCCACCTCTAGCTCTGCTTGATCCAGGATCGGTGCTATTTCCTGGAACTCCTTTGCCTCCAGCGCTTGCTGGACCCGTTCATGCACAGCAGCCATCTAACAACTGCTTAATATAATTGAGGGTCTCGACAAGGTACTACCTAGGCAGCGCTTGAGGTGTGTCCAGATCAGCAACGAGGATCTGGCTCGGGCGACGTGCACAGGTGAGACCAAGAGCCGATCACATCGACTTTCCTGATGAGCTCCATGCATGTGATTGCAACGTCCTCCTCTTGATCGACGAGAGGTCTGCTGAAGCTGCTGGGAAAGTGATTGTCCCGATTTTTCCTGCCTTGTATTGCAAGAGCGTGTCCCCTGCCACTTGGCGCTTTGCATTTCGCTGCTCTTCTCCTCCATTCCTCGGCGCAAACCTGCGCCATTGGCAACAGCCCGTCGCACCGAAGCAGCAAGAGCAAGCACTAGCAGTCCTACGCCCCACCCTGCCGCCCGATCGCCACGCCCTCACCACCACCCACTGCAGCCCGCTGAGGCCAAACAGCGTCAGCGTCATCATCAGCGTTGCCAAGCAGCAAGGGAAGCGCTCCAGCATGGCAGCGATGGAGGGGAGGGCGCTGCTTGGCATGGCGAGAGACAACAAGCCAGAAGACATCAAAGCGGCGGTGGCGCTGGGCATCCCCGTGGACTACCCCAATCCCATAGGCCAGACTGCGCTGATGGTTGCATGTCTGTGGGGCAACCTAGATGCAATCAAGGTGGGTGGTGCCGCGGGTGTAGAGTGGGCCGCAACAGTTGCGCACATCCTGCCACTGCTGCTGCTGCTGCTGCTGCTGCTGCTGCTGCTGCTGCTGCTGCTGCTGCTGCTGCTGCTGCTGCTGCTGCTGCCGCTGCCGCTGCTGCTGGTGATGACGGTCGTGGTGCTGATAGGGCTTGCTCAGTATTGGTATTGTTCAGTCATCGCGGGTAACTCCAGCGCGCAGCCCATCTTGTCACAATTAGGTGCAGGCCGCAGCTGCGCCCAACCAGTGCCACGTCTCCCCCTTCTCGCCGCCTTCCGCAGATGCTGCTGCAGTTGGGCGCCAACCCCAACAAACAAAACCAGGGGTAAGTGAGACCCATCGCAGAGACGGTGGCGCCCGGTGACCTCTCTGTACGTGTCGGTTGTGCATTGCTGAACCGAGCCCGCGTTCCCTGCCCGTCTGCTGACCGCCGTCGCGCCCGCACGCGCGCAGCGGCGCCGTCCCCTTGCACTTTGCGGCGGCGGCGAAGCGCAACTCGCCTGAGGTGTGCAAGCTGCTCCTGGCGGCGGGGGCGGAACCGGAGATAATGGATGACATGGGGTGCGCATGGCACGAGACCGCGTGGGCCGCATAGGGCCGCTTGGGGCCGCATGGGGCTGCATGGGGCCGCATGTGACCAAATATGGGCTGCATGGGGCGGCATGCAGGACAGGGGTCTACCAGGGACGCTTTGGCAGCGTGCATCATGTCAAAGCCTGTGTCAGGGCATAGACCAGTGTCGCAGAAGTGGGCACCGCTCCTGCCTGCTGTGCCACCATTCGACTCGCTTCGGTGGCCGCGTCACCACCTCGCCTTTCCTTGTGCTTGGAACAATGCGCGTGTATGGCAGGTGCATGCCTTACGAGCGTGCAGAGGACCCCGAGCTGCGGAAGCTTCTTGGAGGCCCAGACCAGCGGCTGTTCGACTTTGCAGGTGCGAAATGAGGGCAGAGGTCCCCAACCCTACCGCGTCGCCTGCGCCCCCGCACGACGACGGCAGGGACGCCACTGCGCGGGCCCGTCGGCTTGTTTGAGCCGTCCGCCTGGCTGACAATCACGCAGCATGACGGGGGATCTGACCAGGCAGATCTAGCGCTGGGCTTTGTGCGCGTGCTCCCTAAACACTCAAGCCCGCCCGTCCCCCCAGCGGCCAATGACGCGGAGGGCCTCCGGGGGCTGGTGACGTCGGGCGCCGTCAAGAGCCTGCGGGCGATGGACCAGCAGGGCCGCCACGCGCTCAACATCGCCATCGCGCAGAACAACGGGGTCGAGGCTTTGTCTGTGATCCTGGAGATCGACCCAGGTCGGGCGGTTTGGGGTGCGGGTTTTAGCGTCTGGATCGACGGGGGCCTACAGCCGGGTGGGAGTCTGGGGTCTGGGCTCGGGGATAGCCGCAGCAAACTCATTTCCACCAGCTTTTGCAGCAAACGGCACCCGACTCTGCGCAAGCCTGCACAAATGCGTATGCAGAACTTGCACTGACGCCCGCACGCGCGCGGCAAAGTGCGCACTCTCTCCCACACCTTGTCTGTTCATACCCACCGCTCCCGACCGGCAGAGCTGGCCGCCCTCCCCGACATGACCGGGGACGCCCCCCTGCACGTGGCGGCCGAGGCGGGCGCGGAGGAGGCTCTGGCGGTGCTGCTGAAGCTGCTGACCCGGGAGCAGGTCAACCAGCGAAACCTCCAGCTCAGCGAATACACGCAAGGCGCGCCGGCAGGGGCCGGGGCGGCGCGGCGGCACGGCAGCGCTTGGCACGGCACCGGCCGCGCCCAGGATGGATGGCCTGGACGTGTGCTGTGCGGCTCGCATGGTCGCCGCATCTGGGGGGCGAGGGTAACTGCGTCGCCCCAGCGCTGGCGGCGCGCCCTGGTTTCCGACGACCCCTGGTTGAGTGATGCGGATATCGGGCCTCCATACGGGCCTCCAGACATACCATCCTGTTCGACCGCTTCTGGGCGCACCAACCCCCCCTGCACCCTCCGACCTTGCACCACCCCTCCTTGCACCACCCCTGGCCGCCCTGGGCGCGCAGGCTCCTGGCTGTCTGGGCAGGAGGTGATAAAGCCGTGGGACAAGACGGCGCTGGCCATCGCCGTGGAGGCCGCCGACGAGGACATGGCGCGCGCCCTGCTCGACGCAGGTGCAGACAGGGGTGGAGCACTGATGCGGGCGGCGCGTTGGCGCTGGTTGACACGATGATGGTCGCTGCTTGCTGCGATGATGCTGGTGTTCTGCAATGATGGTGCAATGCAAAAATGGTGGCATGCTTTCCTGTGGGTCGCCGGGTCATGTGAAGGCGCGCAGTGTCGGCTGCTGACGCCCATCATCCGGCGCCTGCCGGCGCTTTTGCTGCCCATGCATCGCCGTGCCGGATTCGGTGCACTTGAGACGTGCCTTTTTGGTCACGGGTTGCTGGCAATGAGGGCCAGGGTCCCTTGCCTGCACACCACAATCCCCTGCCCCATTGTTCCCCTGCTGTTGTGGCATATATGCCTTGTGATGCATGCCTGCACGGATGCGGGCACACACATGCACACATGCACACATGCACAAATCCACAATTGAGCGTTCATGCACAGACAAACGCACACACGTCCATGCGCGCGCACGAACACACGCGCACACACACACACACACACACACACACACACACACACACATGCAAGCATGCACACGTGCCCACACACGTGCCCATCCCACCCCAACACACACACACACACACACATGACAGAATACGCACGCTCACGCATGCAATCACATGTACGCGTGCCCGTGCGCCCGCGCCCCACCCCCCTCCCCCAGGCGCCGACCCCAACATCCCGGACATTGACGGCGCCAGCTGCCTGCACCTGGCGCTGGAGGGGCAGGAGGAGGGCATCGCAGAGATACTGCTGGAGCGCGGCGCAGAGTGAGCCAGCCAGCCGCGGCTGGTGGGAAGATGGGACGCCGCCCCCGTGGCCCAAAAGACGTTCTTTTCTACGTCGTCTTGCCAGCCCCGTTGTCGACAGCCGTGGTGTCTTGCCAGCTCTGGTGTTGACAGCCAAGATCCACGCCGTCAAGTTTCACATAATGCAAGTCATGCGGCGCACGGCCCCCCACGCAATCAAGCGTAGATGCCATGCAGTCCCACAACTTGCCTCTCCATGCCCGCGCCCCTCCCCTCTCTCAACCCAGCCCGAACAAGGCAAGCCGGGACAGCCGCAGCTGCCTCCACACCGCGGCGCAGCGCGGCCCGGTCAGCATCACGCAGCTCCTGCTCAAGCACGGCGCAGACCCCAAGGCGAGGCCAAACACTGCACCTATCCTCCGCTGCCTGGCAGCTGCCTCAAGAGCGCGCGCCCTGCAACTGCACCCAGGATTGAGGTGCCAGCGGGGCGCTGTCAGACATCTGATGCCCAGAACATGATTCTTTCGGAAGCGCCTAACATGAAAGCCCCACTACTGACGAGTGCGTTGCACCCTTCCAATTCAAAAACCGCCCTCCCAACCACCAGGTCGCCGACCCCGACGGCTGGACGCCCGTCCACCTGGCGGCGCGCGCGGGGTCGGCCGAGAAGGTGCGGCTGCTGCTGGCGGCCGGCGCAGACCCCGCGGCGACCACCAAGCACGGGCACACGGCGCTCGCGCTGGTGAGCAGGGCGAGCGCGGCCTGCGTGTCAGCGCTGCCCCTTGTTCCCCAGCAACCCTGTCTGTCGTCAACAGTCGTGCTCGGTAGGTTGGTTGGTGCATGCTGCTGAGCAGACAAGCAGCTGCTCTCGGCAATTGTGATCAGCATGTCCGGCGGCCGCGCTGGCTCACTGCTGCCGTGTTGCCTGCTTTCGTGGCGCCCCGCCGGCGCAGGCGGCCACCAACGGCCGGACGGAGGTGCAGCAAGTCCTCCTGGGTGCAGCGGCGGCGCCCCAGGCTGGGGCCGCGGCGGCTGCGACAAGCGCAGCCCCCGCGGCGGCGGTGGCCGGCGCGTGAGGCTGGCCCGTCAGTTGGCATTGCGATCGGCAGCGCGTGAGCGCATGTGGCGGCAGTGGGCGCATGCATATTGCAGGCCTTGTCGTCTCCTTATCGTTCGTCAAGCGGCAGCAGAGGGCGGCCTGCCCCGCAGTACTCTTGTCAGCACGTGTCTCCAGCCTGGTTGCTGCACAGTTATGCTGGCAGTGTTGTTGAGCTTCAATGTAGCCAATCTCCTAGCACCCTCTCGACCTGATTGGTCCATCCTGCAGGGATTGAAAGCAACCTGCCCTGTTGCGTTGCTTGATTGCCACCAGGGCTGCCTGCCAGCCCCAAAGCGGCGGCCCCTTGTGGCGCCCTCAGACCCTGCTAACGACCATGCGGCAAGCCGCGGACAAACCAGAGCGCACTGAGTGCAGGAGTTTACTGCTTGGGACAGATACAGGGGGTGTTGTACGTGTGACATCAGTGAAAAAAGGGGGCACTGCGGCAGCCACCCAGCAGCGCCAAACGCGCGTGTCGACGCACGTGGCTGTGGGGCGGCCCCGCCGTGCCACGTCAAACCATGATTAGGTTGTCATCGGGCTCTGGGGAAGAGAGCCTGCGCAATAGCATGCGTGCCGGCAAAGGTCTGGTGGGGTTGGGCGCGATGTGCCCAGCTGGTGGCAGGCACGTGCTGGGGGTGGTCGAGTGCACGCCTGCTCGCGTGCAGGTGCACGGACGTGGCCATGGCTCCTGTTATAAGGGCCGCGCTGGGGCGCCGCGTGGGGATGCCGCCGGCCAGGCGAGCCATCCGCAGGCACACGAGGGGAAAGACGGCCCGAGATGCGGGGGATAGGGTGTGGACTTGAGAGAACGGGGAGGGTAGAAATGGTGCGACGGGGCCCCGTCACGGGGTTCTTGCTACCTTTTGCTGCTGATCTGATCGGGTGACGTCACGCCTGCTGCTGTGAAGATCGGCGCGTGGGTCGTGGAGCGGGGCCAGGCTGGCGCGCGTGCGGATGGAGGGAGTCACGCGCCCCGTCACACGCAGCTGGCTCGGGCCGCAGGAGGCAGCGCCTCACCACTGCCCGGCCTGCAGCTGGCGTGTGCACAGGGAGCGCATGACCCACATGAAGGCATGTTATGACATAACCAACCATTGACTGACCCCGGAAAAAATGAAGAGTACACGCCAAAACATGCGCCGAAACGGCGACGATAAAACTGTGCCGGGCACGTCAGGGAGCAACGCCTGCTTCAGGCGGATGTGCTAATGAAGGCCACGGCTGTCTGAAAGGGTCGGGCCGCAGCGCCACGAGCGTCCCACGAACCAACCGCGTGCAGGCCCCAACCCGCCCAGAAGAAAGTACCCGCCAGCAACACGCAGAAGGCAGCTGTTGCGCAGCCTTGAGGCGGCCCAGCCGCCGCCCCGCCCCGCGGGGCGCTTCCCCCCATTTTGCAGGCTCGCGGTTTGGTGCGCCCGCCCAACGAGGACCAACGCCCCCACGCGCAGCCGCAGCTGCGGCGCGGCGGCGCGAGCCATGCTTGGCGGCGCCCTCACGCGCAGTCGTACTGCAGGTCAAAGGCGCGCCCGTTGAGGGGCTGCACCGGCCGCGAGTTCTGCGCGAGCGACTTGCCGCCGCTGACATACTGCCCAAACGCCAGGACCTGCGGGGGCGGCCGGTTGCAGCGTTGCAATGGGCAATGGAAAGAGGAGTTGAGACAGGGCGTCGGCGCACTGCTTGCAGGTCGGACGCTCGGCGAGGGATGCGCCTCACATCATTGACACACGGCGAGGGCTCACGGCCCGCGCCGCGGCGCGGGCTGCGGCGACGCCCGGCAGCGGGCGGAGCGGCCCGCAGTCCAGCTGCCGCGCAGCTTCCCCAGTCACCTGCTCCGGCGTCACCGGGACAGTCTCCAGCATCACATACCACTCAACGCCCTCGTTGCAGCCGGGGGTGGTGAGGGAGCCTGAGTAGCGGATGTAGGCCGTCCCCGGCCGCGGCAGCAGCTGCCGGGGGTCTATGAAGGTGGGGCAGGTGATGGACTCGCGGGCCTTGGGGGGCGCGTACTTGAGAGTCGTGGTGAGGGCAGGGTTGCCGGGGCCGGGGGTCTCCATCAGCACGCCCAGGACGCCCAGCTGGCCTGCGGGGCGCACAGGTGGCACGTGGCACGGCGGGGCATGGCGGGTGGGTGAGTTGTTTCCTCCGTCTGGCGGGAGAGGGGATGGGAGG